TACAGGAACACCACTAGCAGCAACTCATTGGCCCAGAGAAAGGAAGCCAAGGAAGGAATATGCTCAACTCTCTCTTTTCCCATGTAATCCCTTGCCATTGGTTTTCATTTACTAAACACAATGGAAGCCAGAGGGCAAGGGAGCCTGTTGATATGTCCATAAACACGGGTCTTCTAGGACCTGTAGCAGGGTAGAGAAGGAGGAAGGTAGACCTGGAGATTCAGAGATCCAAAGAATATTCTCCAAAGAGGACATTCCAGAATATCTTAGGTCAGAGAGAGATCTGATCTGGTGAGTTAGTTGGGGAGTTACCCCCATTTGAATTGTAATTCAAACAATGAAATAGAGATGAGGTCCATTTCACATATTACAAAACTTAGGTTTGCAAAGTTATTTACCTAAAGGCTATCAGCTAATAAACAACGACTCTGGTCTTCTGAATCCTAGTACACTCTTATTTTGCTTTTTAAACTAGTAATCATGATCAATAATAATATGTACTGACCATCAAACTCATTGATGCGGTATTTCTTCAACTCTGGAGTTTATGGTTCAAATGAAGCCAATCCTCCATCCTAGCTTCAGAGGTAAGTACATATCCCAGACGTGGCCAATTAAAATATTTCATTCTTTTAGACATGGTGATGGATTCAGGAATGAATATATGTACCACACTGTGGTAACCAAAATAAATTGTGGAAAATGTTGTCAGAGAGACTTTCTTCTGAAATTGCTAAAGTTGTAAGACATGAACCCAAAGTTGATGATAGCATTTTTCTACTATGACATTAAAACCAATACACATATCAAAAAGATAGAGGAGACAGGTGTGGTGGATTGCTCTTGAAGTCACAACTACTCAGGAGGCTGAGGCAGGAGTATCACTTGAGCCCAGGGAGGTCTAGGTTGCAGTGAGCTGTGATTGTACCATGCACTCCAGCCAAGGCAACAGAGCAAGACCCCATCTCTTAAAAAAAAAAAAGAAGAAGAAGAAAAAAGAAAATTGAAAGAAGCAGTCTAGTCTCTATACTCAGCCACACATAAAGTCAGTTGAACCTCTAAACTTCTTAGTTATGAGAAATCAAGAAAAGTCCTTTTCCCATTAATGTCCATTTGATTTTGTTTCTGTCATTTCAAGAAATAAAATGAAACAATTCTTTCATTTCTTGCAAATGAAAGAATTCTAGTTAATGGATCTTTGTAGACCTTCATTAATATACAAAATAGATTTTTAAATTGTATTTGAACTTGACAATTGAAGATCACTTTTTTGTTTTTTTACTTACATACGTTTTATTATTCATATGACCTTCACATTCCATATGCAACTAGTTGCTAATTTATCTGTCTTTTTTATTTTTTATTTTAATTATTTATTTATTTTTAAAATATTTTTTATTACATTTTAGGTTTTGGGGTACATATGCAGAACATGCAAGACAGTTGCATAGGTACACACATGGCAGTGTGATTTGCTGCCTTCCTCCCCTTCACCCACATCTGGCATTTTCTCCCCATGCTATCCCTCCCCAGCTCCCCCCATGCTGTCCCTCCCCTATTCCCCCCAAGAGACCCCAGTGTGTAGTGCTCCCCCCCGTGTACATGTGTTCTTATTGTTCATCACTCACGTATGAGTGAGAACATGCAGTATTTCATTTTCTGTTCCTGTGTCCGTTTGCTGAGAATGATGTTCTTCAGATTCATCTGTGACCCTACAAATGACACGAACTCATCGTTTTTGATGGCTGCATAATATTCCATGGTGTATATGTGTCACATTTTCCCAGTCCAGTCTATCATCAATGGGCATTTGGGCTGATTCCAGGTCTTTGCTATTGCAAACAGTGCTGCAATGAACATTCGTGAGCATGTGTCCTTATAGTAGAATGATTTATAGTCCTTTGAATATATACCCAGGAATCGGATTGCTGGGTCAAATGGAATTTCTATTTCTGGGTCCTTGAGGAATCGCCACACTGTCTTCCACAATGGTTGAACTAATTTACACTCCCACCAACAGTGTAAAAGTGTTCCTATTTCTCCACATCCTCTCCAGCATCTGTTGTCTCCAGATTTTTTTAATGACTGCCATTCTAACTGGCATGAGATGGTATCTCAATGTAGTTTTGATTTTCATTTCTCCAATGACCAGTGATGATGAGCATTTTTTCATACGTTTGTTGGCCTCATGTATGTCTTCTTTTGTAAAGTTTCTGTTCATGTCCTTTGCCCATTTTTGAATGGGCTTGTTTGTTTTTTTCCTGTAAATCTGTTTGAGTTCTTTGTAAATTCTGGATATCAGCCCTTTGTCAGATGGGTAAACTGCAAAAAAATTTTCCCATTCTGTTGGTTTCCGATTCACTCTAGTGACTGTTTCTTTTGCTGTGCAGTAGCTGTGGAGTTTCATTAGGTCCCATTTGTCTATTTTGGCTTTTGTTGCCGATGCTTTTGGTGTTTTGGTCATGAAATCCTTGCCTACTCCAATGTCCTGAATGGTTTTGCCTAGATTTCCTTCTAGGGTTTTTATGGTGCCAGGTCTTGTGTTTAAGTCTTTAATCGATCTGGAGTTAATTTTAGTGTAAAGTGTCAGAAAGGGGTCCAGTTTCTGCTTTCTGCACATGGCTAGCCAGTTTTCCCAACACAATTTATTAAACAGGGAATTCTTTCCCCATTGTTTGTTTTTGTCAGGTTTATCCAAGATTGTATGGTTGTAGATATGTTGTGTTGTTTCCGATGACTTTGTTCTGTTCCATTGGTCTGTATCTCTGTTTTGGTACCAGTACCATGCTGTTTTGATTACTGTAGCCTGTAGTATAGTTTGAAGTCCAGTAGTGTGATGCCTCCTGCTGTAGTTTTTTTTTGTTTTGTTTTGTTTTGTTTTGCTTAGAATTGACTTGGCTATGTGGGATCTCTTTTGGTTCCATAGGAAGTTTAAGGTGGTTTTTTTCTTCAGTTCTGTGAAGAAGGTCATTGGTAGCTTGATGGGGATAGCATTGAGTCTGTAAATAACTTTGGGCAGTATGTCCATTTCCACGATATTGATTCTTCCTAACCATGAACATGGAATGTTTCTCCATCTGTTTGTGTCCTCTCTTATTTCATTGAGCAGTGGTTTGTAGTTCTCCTTGAAGAGGTCCTTTACGTTCCTTATTAATTGTATTCCTAGGTATTTTCTTCTCTTTGTTGCAATGGTGAATGGCAGTTCATTCTTGATTTGGCTCTCTTTCAGTCTGTTATTAATGTATAGGAATGCTTGTGATTTTTGCACATTGATTTTGTATCCTGAGACTTTGCTGAAGTTGCTTACCAGTTTCAGGAGTTTTTGGGCTGAGACGATGGGGTCTTGTAGATATACAATCATGTCGTCTGCAAATAGAGACAATTTGGCTTCCTCCTTTCCTATTTGAATACGCTTTATTTCTTTTTCTTGCCTGATTGCTCTGGCTGGAATTCCAGTACTGCATTGAATAGGAGTGGTGAGAGAGGGCATCCTTGTCGAGTACCAGATTTCAAAGGGAATGCTTCCAGTTTTTTCCCATTCAGTATGATATTGGCTGTTGGTTTGTCATAAATAGCTGTTGAATTTTGTCAAAGGCCTTCTTTGTGTTAATTGAGAAAACCATGTGGTTTTTGTTTTTGGTCTGTGTATGTGATGAATTACATTTATAGACTTATGTATGTTAAACCAGGCTTGCATCCCCGGGATGAATCCTACTTGATCATGGTGGATAAGATTTTTGATGCGCTGTTGCAATGGGCTTGTCAGTATTTTATTGATGATTTTTGTGTCTATGTTTATCATGGATATTGGCCTGAAGTTTTCTTTTCTTGTTGAGTCTCTGCGGGTTTTGGTATCAGGATGATGTTAGTCTCATAAAATGATTTGGGAAGGATGCCCCCTTTTTGGATTATCTGAAATAGTTTCAGAAGGAATGGCAACAGTTTCTCTTTTTGCGTCTGGTAGAATTCGGCTGGGAACCCATCTGGACCTGGGCTTTTTGTGTGTGGTAGGCTCTTAATTGCTGCCTCGACTTTAGACTTTGTTATTGGCCTATTCATAGTTTCAGCTTCCTCCTGCTTTAGGCTTTGGAGGACACAAGTGTTCAGGAATTTTATCAATTTCTTCCAGGTTTACTAGTTTATGTGCATAGAGTTGTTTGTAATATTCTCTGATGATGGTTTGAATTTCTGTGGAATCTGTGGTGATTTCCCCTTTATCGTTTTTTATTTAATCTATTTGGTTATTCTCTCTTTTCTTTTTTATCAATTTGGCTAGTGATCTCTTTATTTTGTTGATCTTTTTAATAAACCAGTTCATGGATTTATTGATTTTTTGAAGGGTTTTTCGTGTCTCTATCTCCTTCAGTTCTGCTCTGATCTTAGTTATTTCTTGTCTTCTGCTAGGTTTTGAGTTATTTTGATCTTGCTCCTCTAGCTCTTTCAATTTTGATGACAGGGTGTCAATTTTGGATCTCTCCACTATTCTCATGTGGGCACTTATTGCTATAAATTTTCCTCTAGAGACTGCTTTAAATGTGTCCCAGAGATTCCGGTATGTTGTGTCTTCATCCTTATTGGTTACGAAGAACTTCTTTATTTCTGCCTTTATTTCATTGTTTATCCAGTCAACATTCAAGAGCCATTTGTTCAGTTTCCATGAAGCGGTGCAGTTCTGAGTTCATTTCTGAATTCTGAGTTCTAACTTGATTGCACTATGGTCTGAGAGACTGTTTGTTATTATGTCAGTTGTTTTGCATTTTCTGAGGAGTGCTTTACTTCCAATTATGTGGTCAATTATAGAGTAGGTTTTGTGTGTGTGTGTGTGTGTGTGTGTGTGTGTGTGTGTGTGTGTGTCAGAAAATCTTATTTATCCAGAATAGACTAAAATTTCAGGACAAAACAGGGACTTTTTAATATTTCTTACTTTACCCATTTTAAGTTCTTTTTATCTCCCCCACCACCAAAACCAGTAATTCAGCAAGATCCAGCAGAAAGAGAGCTACTTTTAGAATTGGCTATTTTATTTTCCTTTCTGTGGCAAGACTGTCATGGAGCCTGGATATTTCAGGCTCATATGCATCCATGACCAGTGTCCCACTGTGGTCAAAAAACTTAGCAATGGACTTGGTGAACTCAGCTTCCCGCTGCTGCTTTGTTCTCCCACTGATGAAGGTCAGCTTCAAGGTGTATTTGTCATCAAACCTTTTAAGACTGGAGGACAGCTGCCAAATATCATCAGGATCCATTCCTGTAGAATCTTTCCTGTGGGCCACGAGAAAGATGCTCTTCTCTTTATATGAGGTATAAATGGTCAGAATCCCCATCATCACAAAATAGGATATGATGCACAAAGCCAAAATGGGTTTGGACTCTGGAAATTCTGGGTTGAAAGTGGTGCTGAGAAGAATGTATATTCTGTGAATTTGGGGTGGAGAGTTCTGTAAATGTCTATCAGGTTTGCTTATTCCAGGTCTGAGTTCAAGTCCTGGATATCCTTGTTAATTTTCTGTCTGGTTGATCTGTCTAATATTGACAGTGGAGTGTTAAAGTCTCCCACTATTATTGTGTGGGAGTCTAAGTCTCTTAGTAAGTCATTAAGAACTTGCCTTATATATCTGGGTGCTCCTGTATTGGGTCCATATATATTTAGGATCATTAGCTCTTCTTGTTGTATCAACGCTTTTACCATTATATAATGTCCTTCTTTATCTCTTTTGATCTTTGTTGCTTAAAGTCTATTTTTTCAGAAATGAGAATTGCAACTCCTGCTTTTTTTTTTCTCTCCATTTGCTTGGTAAATCTTCCTCCATCCCTTTATTTTGAGCCTTTGTGTATCCTTGCATGTGAGATGGGTTTCCTGGATACAGCAAACTGATGGGTTTTGGCTTTTTATCCAATTTGCCAGTCTGTGTCTTTTGATTGGTGCATTTAGCCCATTTACATTTAGGGTTAATATTGTTATGTGTGAATTTGATACTGCCATTTTGATGCTAGCTGGCTGTTTTGCCCATTAGTTGATGCCGATTCTTCATTATGTTGATGCTCTTTAGCATTTGGTATGTTTTTGGAATGGCTGGTACTGGTTGTCCCTTTCTATGTGTAGTGCCTCTTTCAGGAGCTCTTGTAAAGCAGGCCTGGTGGTGACAAAATCTCTGAGTACTTGCTTGTTTGCAAAGGATTTTATTTTTCCTTCACTTATGAAGCTCAGTTTGGCTGAATATGAAATTGTGGGTTGAAAGTTCTTTTCTTTAAGGATGTTGAATATTGGCCCCCACTCTCTCCTGGCTTGTAGGGTTTCTGCTGAGAGATCTGCTGTGAGTCTGATGGGCTTCCCTTTGTGGGTGACCCAACCTTTCTCTCTTGCTGCCCTTAGCATTTTCTCCTTCATTTCAACCCTAATGAATCTGACGATTGTGTGCCTTGGGGTTGCTCTTCTTGCGGAATATCTTTGTGGTGTTCTCTGTATTTTCTGGACTTGAATATTGGCCTACCTTGCTATGTTGGGGAAATTTTCCTGCATAATATTCTGAAAAGTATTTTCCAGCTTGGCTTCATTCTCTTCGTCACATTCAGGTACACCTATCAAACGTAAATTAAGTCTCTTCACATAGTCCCACATTTCTTGGAGACTTTGTTCATTCCTTTTTGCACGTTTTTTCTCAAATCTTGCCCTCTCATTTTATTTTATTGAGTTGATCTTCAACCTTTGATATCCTTTCTTCTGCTTGGTCAATTCGGCTGTTGAGACTTGTGCATGCTTTGCGAAGTTCTCGTGTTGTGTTTTTCAGCTCCTTCAATTCATTCATATTCCTCTCTAAGTTGTCCTTTCTTGTTATCATTTCCTCAAATCTTTTTTCAAGGTTCTTAGTTCTTTGCATTGCTTTAGAACATGTTCTTTTAGCTCACGGAAGTTTCTCATTACCCACATTCTGAAGTCTGATTCTGTCATTTCATCACACTCATTCTCCATCCAGCTTTGTTCTCTTGCTGGTGAGGGGTTGTGGTCCCTTATAGGAGGCGAGGGGTTCTGGTTTCGGGTGTTTTCCTTGTTTTTGCACTGGTTTCTTCCCATATTTGTGGATTTATCCACCTGTCATCTGAGTAGTTGCTAATTTTCCAATTGAGTCTCTGAGTGGACGTCCAGATTTTTGATGATGAAGTATTTCTGTTTCTTAGTTTTTCTTCTAACAGTCTGGCTCCTCTGCTGTACAACTGCTGAGGTCCACTCCAGGCCCTGCTTGCCTGGGGTACACCTGTAGCAGCTGTGGAACAGTAAGGGTTGCTACCAGTTTCTTCTTCTGCTATCTTTGTCGCAGAATGATGCCCACCAAATGTCAATCTGATCAGTCCATTGTCAGGTGACTCTTTGGACATATGGGGGTCAGGGAGCTGCTTGAGAAAACAGTCTGTACTTTATAGAAGCTCAAGTACTGAGCTGTGAGCTCCATTGTTCATTCAGAGCTGCTAGGCAGGTACGTTTAAGTCTGCTGCAGCAGAACTCATAAAACCCCTTTTCTTCCTCAGGTGCTCTGTCCCAGGGAGTTAGGGCTTTATTTATGAGTATCTGTTGCACTGTCCTGGCCAGCAAGGAGGCAATTTAGTCACTGCCTGTCTACAGAGGCTATGCTGAGCTTCTCTGAGCTGTCGTGGGCTCCACCCTGCTGCCGTGTGCTCTGTCCTGCTTCCATGGGCTCCGCCCTGCTACTGTGTGTAATTCCCTGTAGTCCTGTTTATATGGGTGTGGTTAGAACTGCCGTGGCAATGGTGGCCCGCCTCTGTAATGGTGCACTCTCTCTGTTATGGCAGGTTGCCTTCGCAATGGCAGGCCACGTCAGCAATGGCAGAGTACCTCCATAGGGGTGGAGTGCCTCAGTAATGGTGGACACCCCTCACCCACTGAGCTGCACTGTCCTGGGTTCAGCTGTGCTTCCCATGAAACTCTCAACCCCAAGCATTTCCAATTGCTGTTTTGTTTGTTTTTGTGGGGGTGGGACCCACTGAGCCTGATCACCTGGCTCCCTGCCTCAGAGCCCCCCCTTTTTTTTTAAGTTGAATGGTTGACTCTCTCCCAGGTGTTCCAGTTGCCTGCTGAAAGGGTGTGGGGATCTGTGTGATTTCCCATGCGGCAACCCACTGCGCCAGCTGAAACAATGTCACTGCCTGGGAATCTCCTGGCCTGGCTTTCAGTTTAAGTCCTGTTTAATCAGATGAATGTGCTAATCTGCCTTCCCAAATCTCCAACTGCCAGTTTAACAGGGCAACCAGACCAGTGTATCTTGTACGGAGTGGTGCTGCACTGGGGCACCGGCCAAAACAGCCGTGCCAGGTGAAACAGCCACACCAGCCAAAACAGCCATGCTGGCAGCCCTTGGGGCTCCTACATCTGGGAATCTCCTCATCTGTGGGTAATAAAGATCCATCTGGAAATGCGGTATCCACTCACCCTCTGCACTTTCACAGGGAGCTGCAATCCTGAGTTGCTTTTACAGCACCATCTTCTCCGATGTTCCCTAAAGATCATTTGTTAATCCAAGAATATGTAGGTTGCTATCCTTTAGGAGATTGTCATTAACTAGTGAGTCTTGTAGGTAAGTCCCACAAGGTGTTAGCCTGAGTGAGCTATCCCTAACCTTCTGAACTTCTGAACTGTTTCATTTAGGCAGATTTAGCAAGAAAAGGAAAAAAACACCTTTATAGGAAATGTACACTTTAAAATACCTGAAGAAGTATTTCCATTTTCTTTTCACAATTCTATTTCATTTTGGCAAGTTATGACCAAGAACCTCTAAGCCTAAAAATCATAAGGAAAAAATTGGGGTAATGAAAATAATGAATGATATAAATATTAACACTACTCATAGAATATTTTAAAACTCCAACAAACTAATGGCTCTCAATTTTCCATTTGCTTTTATGTTTATCAAAATGCAAAAGGACAGTGTTGTTGATATGCCATGTTGTATGATTGATTTATACATAGAAGTAATGTATAAATAGTCAAAATTAAAATATTATGCCTGACACAGCGGTGCTCATTACAGCAAAATGAATCTAGGTTACAAAAACTTCTTTTCAATTTACAGTGTAAGATTATTCCAACAATATAAAAATAGATTTTAATTGTGTTGGGGTAGGATTATTTCCAACACATGTACAAGATGAATTCAAGATTGGGGGTGGGGGTGTAAAACAAATGTTTCCTCAAAGATGTTTTCCTTCCGGTCTTAATGGTGACAACATTAAACCTGCCCTCTGCAAATTGTGCCATCTGATCATCACCAGAAGAGGCCCGTGACTATGTGGTTTCCATTGGTTCAAGGCAGAGCTGGCCTTCTCCCCTTCACACTGATTTTCTGGTTTGAGCACCCGTGCTCTGAGGTGTATAAACTGCTTTACTTCCCCTATTAAGACATCGACATAAGTATCCCTGTCGTAGTGAAGAAAGGCTTCAAAATGCAAATGAACCACCCTTGCAGTTTCACGTTCTTGTCATGTAATTTCTTCCTTTCTTTCCTTTCTTCTGTTCTTTTTTCTTTTTTTTTTTTTTTTTTTTTTAGATAAAGACTACAAACAGCAGGGATATACAGACCTTGAAATCACTAGAAAATGAAATGTTTTCACAGCACTGAGATGCATTTAGTGCTAAGACAGAAATTTGGATCCTTCTATTATTTTGTAAGGAGAGAGCTTTTGAATGAAATATAAATAATTTCAGGGTGATGGGACATCCCCAGACTTCAGGTCATGATGCTCTTTCATCATTTTTTTACACTGTTTGGAGAAAAAAGAAAAGGAAAAAAGGAGAAAATTTTCTAATCAGAGTTTCATCAACTGAGTAGATCAACAAGAGAAAATGATCAATTTTATAGTCATTAAAGTAACTTTTCAAAGAGGAGAGATTTCAGAATTAGTGACACTGAGTGTATATTGCTAAATTTATTGTTGACCGTTACTTGGAACTTTTTGTTTGATTTTTTTTTTGTCTTCTTCTTCTGTGATGTAGCTTCATTATATATATATATGGTTGTGTCTTTCTTTGAAGTTCACTCTGACAATTTAGTTTGCTTATATTTCATTGTTTTGGGAAGTCACATTCAAAAGAAATTAAGGGTTTTTTTAATTCAAAAAAGCAATAAATCTTTCAACAAATAACATAAATTTTAATTAAAAAAATTAAAACACATCTACATGCATTATACATATATATTTTTTATTCTTAAAAAATTTCTTTATTTGATCTTTCTCAGATGATATCAGTATTGGGTTTGTTGCAATTAAATAGTATAATATAAAAAGTAGAGTTAACAAAAAAAATTTCTGTATACTCTCCACCTTACTTCATTCATCTACCACTATCTCACCCCACTGAGTTAACCAGTG